GGGGCGTCCAGCCAAGGGGAGGAGGAGTTGGACTCCTCCCCCACTCCTATTCACCCTTCTTCCTTAGGGAAGGGGCGCCTCTCCCCACTTGGGCCCTTGTGGCCCAAGTTGCTTTCCACCTCTTGGCCTTTTTAGGCCCGTTGATATTAAATGAAATATAAAATTGACCTAAATAATTTCATACCATTTTATATATAATTCAACATTCCGGAAACATTTTCCACCTATATATCATTTATCGGTAATACCTGGTATTACTCGATATTCAACGGAACCCTTTCGGTGACCTCGAAACACTTCCGGGTCCTCTTGGAACTACTTTGAATATTGATGTAACAATTCCACAAATATATTCTCATCACTCCCATCCTACTAAAACTCAGCAGATCATGATTGCCTTAAGCTTGTGACCCCGTAGGTTCGGTAACTCATAGACATGAATGAAACCCCTTCGTTCAATGACCGGCAGCGGTGCTGTGGACGTTCGTATCAGTGCATGTGAGCACATGAATAATATTAGAGTGAACCTTAGACTATCATGTGATGTTCCCTTTCTTCGCGATACTTTACAAAACCTACTGTGCATCAGTATCCTGCTGAGTCATCACCATGCTCACTATACCGTTGCTCCCGTTAGTGGTTCTGTTCTTCTTTTTTGTTGACGTGTTTTGGCATCCCCGTGATGTAGTCACATGTGTCTGGCGAGACGATGATGGATGTTGTCACACCGAGAGGACCCTAAGAATATCTCTCTGTCGTCGTAGGAGCAAATACCACTCTCGAGCTATTTGGCCACTTGCCAAACTTTCCGATGAACCTGTAAATTGTTGTTATGATCACCGTGTTACGGGTGACGTTGGAGCAACCCCAAAGCCCACTGTACGGTAGGAAGTGACCACGATACTTTCATGGTCTAAGGAGAAATATCACACGTTAACACTTCGTGTTATTACAATTGAATGCAGACGATATTAACTCAATTCATAACAAACAAGATTGGGTCGATTCAATATGGTCGTTCTTCCAATGTCATAATCTCAATGTTGTTTTAGGACTATCATTACAATTAACGGTATCCTAAACCCGCAAAATGTGATCACTAACAATAATTGAGCTAGTCTTAGAGGCGTGACTAGGAACCTTTTATTTACTGTTTATCATTCCACACGTGCATATGAGTTTTCCACTAAATCGTATATTCCAGGATCATAGCAGTTATAGCATAGAATATAAACTCTTAACTATGAATATGGAAATATAATACTTCATCCGTCCCAAAATAAGTGTCTCAACTTTATACTAACTTTAGTACAAAGTTGTACTAGAGTCAAGACAATTATTTTGAGACAAAGGGAGTAATACAAATATTATTACCTCTAGGGCATATTTTCAACAGTTAGTCCCAAAAAAATATAATATTACATATAAAACATCCAAGATTGATACTATAATATCATGGAACAATCAAAAATTATAGGTACATTGGAGAAGTATCAGGTTTGCGGGAGTCCGGACACCCGAAACGTAGGACTCCGACACCCCGGCCCACCCAATCCCCCCTCCTAGTCTCATTTCCTTCCACTCCGCCCCTTCTCCCCTTACTTTGCATCTGCACCCTCCACCTCCACCGTCGTTGTTGTTCGTCTCCGGCCGCCACAGAGGCATTGCCGGACGTCCGCAACCAGCACCGACGCGCCCGCTCACCGTTCCGATGGAGCTTTCAGCCTAGGAGCCGTTTGTACCCAGGTACACTCCACCCCTGTCGACGACCTCCATGGCAGACACCACGCCTAGCAGGTGTTCGGTCAAATGTCATTGAGCTTATTTTCAAATGCTATGTTGTTTTTAGAGTACGAAGGATGGTGAGCTACTCGACCATGGGGGATGAGTTGCTGTGCAATGCGTGGCTGGCCGTATCCACTGATTTCATAGTCAGGACCAGGGAGCCGTCCTTCTGGGAGCAGGTGCATGAAAAGTTTCACGCAGAAAAGCACATTGCACCCTACGACGTGTACATTATGCGACCATGCAATGTGAGGTCGTTGTTGTATCGCTGGCACGCTATCCAGGTCAACGTCATCAAGTACTGCAACTTGATCAGTCAGCTCGAGGCAAGGTGGCCATTACACACGGGCATGGAGGAGACGGTAAGTTTTGCTTCCTTTTGCTATACTTGTTGATTGATTCATTCACTCAATATTGGTCTACATATTATATGTAGCCCGCACGAGCCGTCGTGTTGTACCACAGGTCAGCGGGACGTCCATTTACGTGCACACACTGCTGGATGAAGCTGAAGGAAAAGTATGTGTGGGAGGACATGATCTGTTCCTGAAAAACTTGTCGTACATCCAGGATCTAATCGAATTTGAGATCTTGTTGTACTAGACTTAATTTGCATGCTATGGGTGGATGATTTGTGTTATTTTTTATCCGGACTTTGATGAATATCGACCAATTTGAATGAATTTCATTCCGTTAGTTAAAATGCGGTCTGAAATGTATGCGGCTAGCGTTGGATGGCTTTCTCCCACATCCGTGTCCGCGGACTGGTGTCCCATTGTCCACGAACGGATGCGGAAGGTTTTTTACGGGTTGCCATTGGAGATGCCCTAAACGTGTGTGCACATCCACGTGTTGTACTTTGTTTGTCTGAAAATATACAAAATGCCTTGACGCGCGAGATGATCGGATACTCGCGAGGGGAAAGTGGAAAACGGACTCCACTCCGCTGTCACACCAGCAACGTGGGGTTCCCAGGCTTTCAAATCCCAGATTTGTTGGCTCCCGCCCTCCGGCGAAAAAGAAGGAGCCGCTCCTCAACAACAACAACAAACTAGTACAAGCAGTACAGAGGACGAGGATTTTTAAGTGGCTGGAAGCCAGCACGGGGGCAGAGGCGATCATGAAGGCGAGAATGTGGAACAGGAGGCAGGAGGGGACACCCCCCATGTGGGACGGAGATGACCCGAGATGAAATACGCCCTAGATAAATAAACTACAGGGCCAGCCAGTGCCCTTGTCCGGGTCTCTCTCTCCCTCTCTCTCAGACTTCTGTAAGTATTTCATTTTTTAAACGCAGATAAAAACAGCCCCTCCCCCATTTAAAAATCCGAGGTGGTAGTAGGGCACACCATATGATGGCGCTGGTAGGACATGCATTATGCAGTCGGTAGATGAGGGGGGTTGATAAAAAAACTCAGCAGCAGAATTGTCTCTACTGTGAGTGACAAGCAAGCTCCACACTGACCGCACGCAGTAATGCAGCAAAGGTAAACGGAAATCAGAAGCCACATGAAACTCGATCTGAATTTCGAGTGGCAGAACGGATCAGTTTCCGCACAAACCCAAGCGAAAACAGAGAATCCAATGTCCGAGACAGGACCTAAACCTAACCTTTTTAGGTGTGTTCCGGTCTCAAGAAACCTTTTAAGATTTTGCAGGCAGATATGAGTAGATGGCTTGTGTGGACGGCAACATACGTCACGCATCGCCGGCATGGCCGGTTGGCCAAGTAAAATACGAACGCCATCATCAGGGCACCACGCCGATGAGATATACTAAGAAGAAAAATCAAGGGTCTCCTCCTTCTTTTCAGTTCAAAACCAGGCCCATCTTGAAATAAACACCAACCAACCAAGGCGCCAGCACACAGCATACACACCCCATCGCGGCACATTCTCAGGAAATTACGGTAGGCGTGTGTGTGTTGTTTCGTGCTTGCCATGTCCTGTTGGCGCCAAGTCTATTGTGGAAACATAACAGAATGACCAAATTTTGCTCATCACCTTGTTTGCACTCTGTGCTTGGCACATTAGCAAATCGAGTGCCACTGTCTATTCCTAGAGATACTTCACATTCTTCTTCCTTCTCTCAGTAGCTACGCTACTTGGAAACCAAGCCTTGGCATGGAAGTTGGAACCACGCCACATGATGAGAATTAGTCAAAAGTTCAGACTAGGGAGTAGCAGACATAAACAGACTAATAAATACCGAGAGGAAGTTCAATTTGAAGATATAACCAGTAGTGGTAATCCATTGTTGACATGAAATCCATATCTGTGCTGGTGCCTCTGCCGACCATATTAGGGCTCCATTGATTCAAAGAATTTTCATAAGAATTTTGGAGGATTAGAATCCTTAGGGAAAAAAAATCTATGTTGGTTGTTTGATTCATAGGATTGAATCCTTGTACTACTTCCCATAGGATTTGCAGCATCCACCCAATGCAATCAAACAGTCAAAAATCCTGTAGGATTGGATGAGCATGACATTTTAATCCTATGTTTTTCCTATTCCAACGTTTTCAGAATCCTGCGAATCAAAGAGGCCCTATTCTATAGCAAGTACAGGTCATCATATAGACAAGGTACTAATGTGAATTATCAGATGGACATCAATGGGACCCCTAGTCCCCAAATTTCAGTTCAGTTAGTTCTCTTTTTCTTTTCTCTTATAAAGATTCTGCTCTGTTGTCTCTAAACATCTAGGCAAAATACACTATGGCAAGATCTGTCCCTAAGCTTTATGTCATATATTCTAGTCCTACAGAAGTTCAACCCCAAATAATACCACTAAGACTATTTAAACATTGCTAAAATAAACAGTTCAACTCAACAACATAAAGTGCACAATTAAGTTGCACCAGGAATAACCAAGGTAAGCAACATGAGCAAATATCAATACTGTACCATAGAACAGTTCCACTGGTTAAAATTATCCTCTCGGCTCACAAGCAATCCTTGAAATGACATGATAAATGCTAAATGAGCAGAGTGTGAACATCGTGGTAAGAACCTAGAGCAACATCATTACACTATTAGAGTTACCGACACAAATGTTGCTAAATCCACTAGTCCTAGCTAAATAAGTTGCGATGAAAAGCGATACGGGGTGTCCAACAACCAAGATAGTAGTTTCCTTCGCAACATTTTAATTGCAAGACAAAATGAACATTACTGGAGTTGAAGATGCCTGCGAACGGTGGCGGCGACCGACGATCAGCACCGCCAGGCTGATACTGATACAAGCTCGCCACGCTGCCAATAGAGAGTGAGCGCAACCCCGCGTTTCTCGACGTGGAACCCTCGGACCTGCACCCGCTTCAAGAGGCAGTCGGCCTGTGCCTCGGCAAGATTGCTGAGCGGCACAGGTGTGAAGCCAGCAGCAGCAAACACATTCCGCCATGAAACTGCTTTGTCGGTCTTGCGCCGCCCAAGCACCGCGTCTTCGACTCTTGGTTGGATCAGAAACTTCTCGATCTTACAGGCAGAATCGGCGTCAATTCCAGCAGCATCAAGCGAGTCAAGGAGGAACATGCAGGATTGAAAGCAATGCAGGAAGTGCTGTGAGAACGGGAGGTCAGCACGATCAGCTCCATAGTCCATGGCGACCACAATCTTAGGACCAAGCTGTTTCACCAACCGAAGGATTACAGCCAGCGGTGGTGCACGAGCAGAGCAACCAACTGGGAGGCTCACAGCTACAATTTCGTCGCCAGTAGAAGAAATGAGCTCAGCCGGACTGAAGGCATCAAGACTGACGGCATTGAACTCGAAGGGAATTCCAAGATCAGCAGCAAACTGCGTGAGGTTATCCTGAGTAAGATGAAGCTCCAGTGGATGGTGAGAAGCATCTGAAACGAAGGCCGTCAGCTTCAGCAACGGCAAAGCCACGCCGCCAGTACCACGGCGATGAGCAAGCTCCTGCAAGAAGGAAGCCCACTGCCCGCCTACACCAAGATCGAAGTCAATGACATGGATGCAGGAAGCGGCGCTGCAGGCGATTTCGTCGAGAAGCGCCTGCGTGGCCGTGAAGTTAGCGAACTGCAGCATGGGCGACAGGTCGGAGAAGGACTTGTAGGCCGCCAGCTTGAGGGCGACGTCGAGCGGTGAGGTGATGCGGGAGGCGCCGTGGTGTCCATCGGCGAGCGCGAGGAGGAGGGCCTCCCTGAGATAGGAAGCCGACCGGAGGAAGGGCTTCCCAAGTGGGGGAAGCTGGTGATTGAGCCGCGCCAATATCTCACGCGCGCCAGTGGAATTACCGGCCTCAGCTGCCTTTGCCGCCGCAGCCAGCTCGTCCAGCAGCTGCTGCTGCGCCGCCTCGGCAGCCGTCGTCTTCATCGCCCCGCGAAGCGGGGGCGGCGAAGGCTGGAGCTGGAACGGGAGTGAGCCATGTAGCAGGGGAAAGGCCGCCGCCGCCGACGTGCCCAGGTGGTTTCGGGTGAGGTAGAGGTCGTCTGGAACGGAGTGGTGGCGTTTGGGCGGTGGCTGGTGGAGTTGCGAGCGCTGGTTGTGATCGGAGAAGGAAGCGAGGGGCATGAAGAAGGCTGCGGCGGGAGGCGGCGGTTGGTGCTGTTGCTGGTACTGGTTGAAGAGGCCATGCGACTGCGGTCCGAGGAGAGGGGGCTTGGTGTCGATACCTTCGTGGAACAGAATCGGAGGCGGCGGGGGCTGGAGAGAGGCGGCCTCCGGTGAGAAGAGGCCGAAAGCCGAGGAGGCCTTGCTGCCGCCACCGCCACCCCCGCCGGTGGTGGTGTGCGACATGGCGCCGGAGGACGACAGGTCGGAGGAGGCGCCGCCGAGGTGGTGGTCGAGCGAGAAGCCGAGCGGGTCGACGGCCGAGAATCCGAAGCCGCCCGCATTGTCGACGAGCGGCTGCTGATGCATTGGAAGCGGCGGGACGGGCAGCTCCAGGTCGCCGGCGGCCCCCATGATCCAGTTCAAGAAGGTCTGGTCCTGCCCGGCCGCCGCGGCCGCCGCGGCGCTGCCGAGCATGGCGTCCCAGCCCTCCCCTCCATCCAGCGCCCCAGGAATGGGCGGCAGCTCACACCCACCACCACCTCCACCGGCGGCGTGGTCGGCCCATTTGGTGGCCTCGGCGTCGCCGGCGCTGCTCTCGGAAACCGCCGCCACGCCGGTGGAGTCAGCCGCGCCGCCGCCGAGGGACGACGACAGCGTGGACGCGGAGTTGGGCGGGCTGCTGAGCCTCCGCGAGCAGTCGAGCACCGACCGGGGCTCCACCAGCAGCTTCCCCGGCGGCCAGTAGCACAGATCCTTCCCGCCGGCGAGGCCCACTCCCCCGCTCCGCTCGGCCCCGAACAGCGCCGCCCTCATCTACCTAGCCCCGCAGCATAACAGGCAGGCCGGCGAGATCTGGGGCGGCGCGCGCGGGGGATTGATTTTCCTTTGCTGGTGCGTGCGTGCGTTTGGATGTGGCTCTCCTCTCCCTCCCTCCCTCGCTCCCTGCCTTGGCCCTGGCGTGCGAGGGAGAGTATACAACAGGGTACGGGGGAGGGAGGTGGGGGCGGGCAGAGAGAGCAGTGTGCGCCCTTGCCTGCCTGCCTGCCTTGTGCTGCCCCGCTGCTCTCCCCCCCTCTCTCTCTCCTCTCTCTCTCTCTCTCCTCGCTGTGTGGTGCTGTGGCCTCGTCTCTCCCCTCTCTCTCTCTACTGCTATCTTCCCTGGATGCGTGCAACATAAAAAAGGTTAAAAAGTGTACCTCTCCCCCCCTCTCTCTCCCCCCATCGTTTTCAGTCTGCTTCAAGCCCTCTCCCCCTCTCTCTCTGCCTTCTTCCTTTTTTATTTTCACCCTAGGTTGTATTCCATGTTTTATCTGCTCGTATTTTGCTTGGCGACGGCAATGCATGGGCTTATTTCTTTGTGTGGACTGTATGCCTACGTAGGTTTTTTTTCGATAAAGGGCGCTTTTATTATCTCAAAATGTAGCATCAAAGTGATACAAAGTATTAAGAGTATCACCCGGCCTCTGCATAACTAGGATGCACACAGCCAAACACCAGTAGTCTGATAAACAAAAAGATGAAAGACCGACAATTCGGCAGCAGTAGAGTCCATAGACCGACACTATGCCTATGTCAAAAGAGATGGTGGACCGAGCCGGAGATTATGCTGCCATCCATGTTGGGTAAAAACCTCCGTAGCCACCTGCTCCAACAGCGTACACACCGCCTTGAATAGCGGTTGGTACTCCGCTCGTTGTAGCGTACACCACGTACGAAGCGAGTGCGTACAACGAAAAATAACCTGCAAAGGAGAAACAGTTTTGTCATTAAAAACAACATTATTTCTACATAGCCAAAGCGACCATAATAAGGCATACGCTCCCACCCTTATTAGCGTTTTGTATGCATTTGAAATACCGTCCAGCCAATGACCAAAAATATTGGCAACACTTGTGGGTGGATACAAATTTGACGCTATTTGGATGGCTGACCACGTAGAACGCGCAAACTTACAGTAAAAAAAGAGGTGTTTAATTGTCTCGTCATGAGTACAAAAACAACACTTCTTACTTCCCGACCAGTTGCGTCGTGCGAGGTTGTCTTTTGTTAGCACAATTCCCCTACGGAGATACCACATGAATATTTTGACTTTAAGTGGTACCTTCGCTTTCCAATTTTTTTTGTTATTACTCACCGGTACCTCAGAATGCGTGAGTGCACGATACATAGAGTCTACTGTGAAAGACCCCGATGTAGTAAGGTTCCAGCGAAACACATCACGACCTTGTGTTAGGATAATCGAATCCAGACGAGACAATAGATTATTCCATGACATAAGTCGGGTGCCAATCAAATCCTGCCTGAACGAAATATTTGGCGGTGATGAGCTGAGCACTTGTGCAATAGTATTATTCTTATCGTGTGCAATGTTGTATAAGGCTGGGTACTGTTCTCGGAGGCTAGCATTGCCTAGCCAAATGTCTTCCCAAAAACGAATCTCTGACCCATCCTTTATTGCAAAAGACCCAAAGCGAAAGAGATGTTTCTTTGCCGCCATTAGGCCGGCCCAAAAGTGTGAGTCTCCAGGTTTCCAATATACATGAGACACTGCCTTTTGGCCTATATACTTATTGCGCAGCATGGTTTGCCAAACATCATCCTCAGTAAGAAGTTTGAACAACCATTTACTAAGTAGGGCCTCATTCTTGACCTGCAGGTCATGAATACCGAGGCCGCCCTGGTCTTTCGGCCTACAAACCACACTCCATTTGGCCAACCTATATTTTTTCTTTTCACCATCTCCTTGCCAAAAGAACCTGGACCTAAAATAATCCAATCTTTGCAAGACCCCCTTTGGGAGCTGGAAGAACGAAAGCATATAGAGGACCATATTTGTGAGGACAGAGTTTATTAAAACCAATCGTCCTCCAACCGAGAGCAACTTGCCTTTCCAGCTGCTCAAGCGTTTCTCTAGTCGCTCCTCTACATGCTTCCACTCCGCAATGGTGAGACGCCGATAATGAATTGGTATTCCCAAATATTTAATTGGGAATTGTCCATGTGCACAACCAAAAAGGTCAACATAATCGGCCGCTGCATCAACAGCTTCTCCAAAGCAGAACAATTCACTTTTATGGAAGTTAATCTTAAGACCCGACATTTGCTCAAACGCTGACAGCAAAAGTTTCAGGTTTCTAGCCTTGTCTAGGTCATGTTCCATAAAAAGAATTGTGTCATCGGCATATTACAGAATAAAGAGACCACCATCCACTAGATGTGGCACTACTCCTGTAATCTGTCCGTCCTGCTTGGCGTGCTCAATCAGAATAGCCAACATGTCAGCAACAATGTTAAATAACATTGGGGATATGGCATCACCCTGTCGTAGTCCTTTTTTTGTCTGAAAGTAATGGCCGACATCATCATTGACTTTAATGGCCACACTACCGCCAGTTACAAAATTTTGGATCCACTTGCACCATTTATCGGAGAAGCCTTTCATCCTTAGGGCATGTTGGAGGAAAGACCATTTGACCTTGTCATAGGCTTTTTCGAAGTCTATTTTGAATACTACTCCACTCATGTTTTTTTGGTGCATCTCATGGACGGTCTCATGCAGGATTACTACGCCATCGAGTATGTTCCTTCCTTGCATGAAAGCTGTTTGAGATGGCCGGACAACATGGTCAGCTACCGAGTTTAATCTATTCGTCGCCACTTTGGTGAAAATCTTGAAGCTGACATTAAGGAGGCATATGGGTCTGAACTGTTGAATCCGTCCGGCCTCCTTAATCTTCGGCAACAAGACAATCTCGCCAAAATTAAGTCTGAATAGGTCAAGTGGGTCGGCATGAAAACAATTGAACAACTCTAAAAGGTCAGACTTGATGATATCCCAGAAATTCTGATAGAATTCTGCGGGGAAACCATCAGGGCCTGGAGCTTTGTTATGTTCCATTTGGAACACCGCAGCTCGCACCTCCTCTTCTGAGAATGGTGCCGTTAGGATATCGTTTTCTTCTGCCGTGACATGTGGAATATCATCTGTTCGGGTCTCATCAAGGGTGAAATTCCCTTCAGCCGGCGCTCCGAAAAGAGATTTGTAGTATTTGGTGATATACTTTTTGAGCTCCTCCTGACCTTCGATCCTCCCCTCATCTTGTTGGAGACTATAAATACATTTCTTCCTATGCCGCCCATTGGCGACCAATTGGAAGTATCTTGTATTACTATCACCCATTAAAATGAAGTCAGCTTTGGATCTCTGGTAGTATTTGATCTCCTCTTCTCGCAGTAGACGGGCAACCATCTCATTAGATTGATTTTTCAATTCAATCTCTTGATGAGATAATGTGCGCGTCTCTGCAATTTTGTCGAGGTCATCAATGATGGTACAGAGCCTTTGTTTTTCCTTTTTATAAATTCCGTTGGTGTGTTTTGCCCATCCAGAGAGGTGTCGCCTCATGGCTCTTATTTTAAAGATCCATCGCTGAATAGGTGTACGACCAACAGCGGGCCTCTCCCAAACATTCTTGATCATGTCTACGAATCCCTCCCTATGCAGCCATCTCAATTCAAATTTGAAAGGGCGCCGGGTGGCTGGGTTCGTAGAGTTAGAATCCAGAATGATGGGTGCATGATCCGATAAGGCCTCGATACGCTCTAGGGATCGCACGGTTATCATAGGAAATTTTAGTTCCCATTCGGTATCCATTAGTACCCTATCGAGCTTCTCGTATGTCGGCACAGATCGGTTGTTTGCCCAAGTGAACTGACGACCCGACATACTGGCCTCCCGAAGATTCAAACTGTCTATCACAGCATTGAATAGGAAAGGCCAATGAGTGTCGAAGTGGTCATTATTTTTCTCTTCCTGGTACCTCAGAATGTTAAAGTCCCCTCCAATAAGTATTGGGTACGGGTTATTCTTAGCCAGGTTAACCAATTCCCGAAGGAAAGCAGATTTATGCTCATCTTGGGCAGCCCCATAGACAGCGACAAGAGTCCATGCAAAATTGTCAGCTCTATTCCGCAGGTGAAATTTTATATGAAATTCACCGATCGAAAAAGCCAACAAGTCCATGGTTGTTGTCATTATCCCAAGAAGGATTCCTCCAGATCTTCCACGAGCTGGTAGACTATGCCATGCGTAGTCGAAACCACCTGATAGGTGATCGAGGACATGCGGGCGAAAGTCACACTTGCCAGCCTCAGAAAATTATTGCGGTGAGCTGAGCTGAGGCTGAGGCGAGAGCTGAGACTAGTCGTCAATCATGCGGAGGCGGGAGGTGTTGTATTGACCGCGAGAAATCGTTGGGACTTTGACGGCTGTTTTGTTATGTTGTATACAGTGCTGGGCGGTGGCACGTACGGTGTGTGAGTCACGTTCGGTGTCGCAATGCTACAGCGCCACTACCGCCGTAGACTGAGATCGTGCTGACGATGGGCGGGCAGGCAAATCATTAAAATCGGAGCCTTAATAACCCTCCTGGAAACCCTTGAAATTGTCGTTTTCGTACTGAGCTGAAAAATAACAATGGTGATTTATTTAGCGACTTGTATTCATCGTACTACGTACTAACATCTTGGCATTTTAAACGGAGCTATTATTACTGCTCACTTAATATCATATCCTTTTCGGCTGCTCCAGCTTTTCGAGGAAACTTGTCTTAGCCTGGCTTACATTAAAAGCGTGCTGTCCCCGGCAAAACAAAAAAACATGTGTTATCCCTGGCTTTGCTGGGAGGGATACCAGTTCACGATTTGACACCATGGCCATATGAAATGACAAACCGCTTTTCAGAAAACAAATTGGCAAGCCCCACACGAAAATCTGTGAAATGACAGCGTGGCCCACCCTAATCTTGATCGTT